TCCTTGACAAATTCAATGACTCTACTGATTTCTGTGTCCAAGTTCTGATTGTCCCCAGGGTCTTGTACCACTCAGACGAAGAGATATACCATCTTCTCGAGGGACCTAACAGACTCCACAAAAGGGAAATCATCACAGGTATAACTATCGCGATGCTGCTCGGCTTGGGAGCAGCTGGCACCGCCACGGGCGTCTCAGCCATCGCAACCCAGCAACACGGACTCTCCCAGCTGCAAATGACCATCGACGAAGACCTGCAGAGGATCGAGAAATCCATCTCCTATCTAGAGAAATCAGTCTCTTCGCTTTCAGAAGTAGTTTTACAAAATAGGCGGGGACTTGACCTTTTGTTTATGCAGCAGAGGGGATTGTGTGCAGCGTTGAAGGAGGAATGCTGCTTTTATGCAGATCATACGGGAGTCGTTAAAGACTCCATGACAGAACTCCGAGACAGACTGGCTCAGAGAAAGAGAGACAGGGAGACCCAACAGAGCTGGTTTGAATCCTGGTTCAATCAATCACCTTGGCTCACCACTTTAATTTCTGCCCTGGTAGGTCCACTGGCAATACTGCTTTTGGCTATTACCATAGGACCATGCCTGCTGAACAAACTAGTCTCGTTTGTTCAAGCCCGTCTGGAAAGGGCAAACATTCTGTTCATAGGCCACCAACAAATGCTATAAACCAAAAAACTGCAAACACAGTCAGTAGCTAAAGCCTTCAGCACCTGCCTTGAAAAATCTACCCTGATCTACTAAACCACCCTTTCCTTAACAAGTTACAAGTCTGTACCTCACTCCAGTGCCTCTACCTACAACTACCTCACTTTATATGTGATAAGGAGGGGGGAGATGTGGTAGATAGGGACAGGCGGAGCGGAAGATCACGGGATGTCACGGAAAGACAGACCCCTCCCCCTCTCTCTTCCCCACTTATCTATTAACCCCAGGAGTCCCAGAAGAATGTAGCCACACCTGTTCTGGTAAATTTCCACTACCCACTATCCCTGAGACCCCCAGCCCCCCTCTGACGTAGCAAAGACCCCTAAAAGCTATTTAAACCCACGAGATAAGATAATAAACGCTTTTCAACCGTCTGCCATATTGGTGTCTGCGTCTGTTGATTAGCCCGAGTGGCTTGGGCGAGACCAGGCCGCCGTGCTGCCACCTGAACCAGGTCCCTGGTTGTCTTTCATAAAAGCAACAGAAGGACATGAACGTGTTGGATCATGTCTAGAAAAGGACAATGAAGCTGGGGAAGGGCCTGGAGCACAAGTTGTTTGGGGAATGGCTACAGGAGTTGCTGGGAGAAGAGGAGGTTGAGGGATGAGTCTCTTCTCCCAAGTAACAAGTGATGGGACAAGAGGAAATGGCATCAGATTGTGCAGGGGAAGCTTAGATTGGAGATTCAGAAAAATTCCTTCACTGAAAGGGCTGCTGAGCATTGGAACAGGCTGCCCAGGGAAGTGGTTCAGTCATAATCCCTGGAGGTATTGAAACAATCTGTATGTGTGGTACTGAGGGACAAGGTTTAGTGATGGACTTGGCAGTGCAGGGTAATGGTTGGACTTGATGATCTTGGTGGTCTTCTCCAACATAAATGTATCTATGTATAATGACTCTGTGATGTAGGTTGGGGTTCCTCAAATTAGCTGGCACTGCAGGTGCACAGCCAGACAGGAATTTTTCTGCTGGGACTTCACATGCCTCACTGTTAGCTCTCTTGCTATTAGTAGTTCAGTATAGTCAAATAAGCTTTATGTCATGTAACAGTATAAAAATATATGCCAAATTTTTTTATTATACCTTCCTGTGTTATTTTAAATGTTTTATAAGGTTTTAAAACTGCAAGGTATTATACCTCATGTAACAAAGACTTTGATTTATGCAAATCTGTATATACATTGTGACTTGAATATCCAAAAGAGGCACCTCCATGAAAAGATCATCAGTCAAGACAAAAACCAGGGCAGACTATCTCTGACTATAAACAAACAAACAAACAAATCTACTGAAATTGCAACCAAAATGCAGGTGTGTTTACTGCTGACATTAAATAGCTATCTGTGATTTCACTTTGTTTTCATTAGTAAATATATACATGTTTACAACTTTCATTCCCCTTACTTAGTCTTTTTGCTCATGTATTATATTCCCGAATTTCCAAATAAGAGAATATAAAACTTTTGTAAAAAGAATCATGGACAAAAAAAAAAACAACAAAAAAAACCCAAACCTTGAAGCATACTAAATAGATTTGATAGGATTATAGGAAGCTGAAACCATATTGCTGTATGTGAAACTGGCTTAACACCTAAGGACTTAAAAAGGTCCGCCTTTGGAAGAGTTAAGGCTTGGTGTGTGGATAGAAATTAGAAATTTTGGAGGGCAAGTGGCTTTATGGAGGGTGGTTTGTGTTTTAAATATGCTATTTGAAAGCCTCCAGAAAGTTTAGAACAGCACAGACTGATTCAGTGTGCACTGTGAAGGTCTCAGCTGTTGGAAACAGGTTATGCAAAGCAATTACAGGCAGTATCTATCTAACCTAATAGCTCCTGGAAAGGAAATCTGAGCTGCTGTTTGCTGTAATGCTTTCTTGTGCCTGGAAGGTAAAGAAAGGACATCTATATGAATGTCAGATGCACCCATTCATGGGTTATTTGAAGTAGTAAAGCAGGTCAGTTTGCCAAGGCCAGGTCTTCATGGAAGACACAGTTACATGGTTAGATGCATCTTCAGCTGGCTTTGGAAAGCAATTACCATGTTTAGCAGTATCCCTTAGATAAGGTCTCGTGGGAAAAAAAGAGCATAGACAAGAATGATGACTTAATTGAGAGTTTTTCAATGCTTGGTTTTTGGATTTTTTAGGGTGGTTTTTTTTTTTTTTTTTTTTGATGGTGACATTTACCCAAGAGAATAGAGATTTTTAAAAACCCCAAATCTCCAGGAAATGACAAAAGTAACTTTCTTACATGTGCTGTAACCTCTTCAGTTATGAAAACAGCTTTCAAGTTCCAGATCCTTTGTTCATTTTTATTCTGAATGACTTTTTGTATTTCTCTTAACTATGTTAATAAAGAGTGCATACTGACCTCTGTTTAATGATGACACATTTCCAGTGTGGGAAAAGGACTCTTATTTCCTGTGCAGTTTCATACAATGATGGGTGCCCTCTGCTTTTTTTGGAGAAGATACTTATGGCACTTTAACTTTTTTTTTTTCCCCTCTTTATTGCAATTGTGTTATGCCTTTTCTTGTAATGCATTCCATATTGCTTCCTTCGCTCCTTGATTTGTGTATTTTTTTCTCTCACTATGCTGTATTTTCTATTTCTCATTTTCACACGCTGCTTTGCAGCTTTGGTGCATACACTTCTGTTGTCTTTAGCTGTTTCTTTTTGCCTCTTTCAGATGCACTTTCATTGCTGAGCATTTGCATGGGGTCTCAGAGATTCCCTCTAAAGTTCAATGGCTGAAAGACGATAAAAACTTAGCTTTAAGCAAGAAGCCAACTCCATTCTTCTTGAAGTCCAAGAATAATAAACATGATGCCTTGCTTTGCATCCTCATCCCTTCTGCCATCAGTCACTGCTGGCCTTCGCTGAAATTGAAGCATCCCTCTCTCCTGGTCTCTGTGCATCCTTTGGCATGTAGGAGGTAACTCACTGTACCCTGGTTGTTACTTTATGTGTGTAACACAGCTTCATATGTGTAAGAAGTGATGTAATTTGGTCCAACTTGGCAGAGCTGTAGAAAGCACAGAGGATGCTCTCTCTTGCGTTACCACCTCTTATTTTTCACCATCTTCTTAGCTTGTTCTGACACTTGGAAACTCTGACCATTGTTGCTGCCACCTCTTTGAGATTTTGGGTTGAATTGTTCTGGAAGAGAGTTGGCATGGCAAGAGGTGAGCAATTTCTCTTCTCTGTTTCTGTTGCTGCTGACAGCAATATAAAGCACTAATGCTGTGGAATCAAGCAAAGTTGTTACTCAAAATGGCCAAAAAGAGGAGTCTTTACCTTTCTTGTCTACATTTCTATTTGAAAAACACAGTTGCAAGGGAAGTTTAATACAAGAATAATTTTTTTTTTCTCCTAATATTTTTTGGACTTCGAGTTTTTTGTACCGCTTTCATGAACCATACAATAGGCCCTGTATTTTGTAATTGCTTATGTTGTGCTCAGTTTGGGTAGTTATAAGCAATACTCCTTAAATTTTATGCATAAAATAAAGCATGTGCATCAATATGCTTCAGAACGTACTGAAATTTAATCTAGACTCGGCTACAATACACAACGAGCTCAAAGCAGAATTACTGAAGGTCATGCTGAGTTCCATATCACAGTTGCAAAAACTTTCTATTATATTCTAAAATTTGTTTTTAGAGCTGTGTCGTGTGTATTCTGTCAGCATCACCCTTGCTTTACAAGGGGGACTGAGTTCCACGTCCTCTCTCAGCCTTTCTTCAAGTCGAGCCCCGGGCACGAAGGTCAAACGGGACAACGCTGTCCCCTTCATCCATACAGATCCGCGCTGGCCTCGCCGCCTCGGTCTGTCAGCAAGTTCCCATCACGACACGATGAACTCTCACACTTGCCGGAGCCGCTCCTGTTTTGAATGGAAGCCCAAGGGCACCTGCAGCCCAGGTACAGCCGGGGGTGGTCTGGCGCAGGTAGGCGGGCCGGAGGCTGGCGGGGCGGGAGGAGCAGCTCCGCGGCTCTGCCGCGGCGACCCACGCCTCGCCCCCATCGCGGGGCTCCGGGCGCGTCCCCCTCCGCCCGCCCGGACTCTCTCCGCTGCCGCCAACTTCAACGCGCCACGGCCGCTGCAGTCCGCATGGCTCCATAAACACGGGCGGGCTGAAAGGGGCGGCGGGGCCGGGCCGGGCGCCGCCGCAGTAGGACGCGCTGGCGGCATCGGACCGCCCTTCTTCCCTCCTCCCATCCCTCCCTCCTCCCATCCCTCCCTCCCTCCCTCCCGCCGCCGGCAGGGGAGGCCGGGCCGGCCGGGCCCACGTGCGCGGCGCCCGGGAGCCGGAGGAGCGGCGCTGCCATGTGTTTCCGCGGGCGAGCCGCCGGCCGGGGCACCGCCTGAGCGCCCCCCGCCCGCGATGCTGCGGGGCGCCGCGGGGCTCTGCGCGACGCGGCCGCCCCCCGTCCCCCCGCCGCCTCCTCCTCCATGAGCGCCTCGGCGGCCCCCGTCAGGCTGATGCCCGGCGGGCACCCGGAGCAGGCGGCCGCCAGCGCCCCAGCCGCGGGCTCGGCGCCCGAGCGGGGCAGCCCCGCCGCCGCTGTGCCCGGCGGCCCCGCTGCCGCCGCGCCGCGTCCCGCGGGGACCCCGGCGGTGAGGGGGGCCGCTCCCGGCGTCCCGCGGCCGGTGGCGCCCAAGGGGCCGCCCACAGCCGCCCTCCAGTTGCCGGCCAACTTGCAGCTGCCCCCAGGTGAGTGATCCCTCCCGGGCTGCCCCAGCTGCAGGCATGTCCCGTGTCGCGACTTAGCCGGCATGTCGCGGTCGTCGCTGCCGGGGGGGCGGTGGGCAGGACGGAGCCCGCCGCGCTGCCCTTGCTGCTGGAGACGAGCCGCGGCGAAGGACGGCGGGGGTGGGGGTGATGTAGTGGCGGTGCGTGTTTCGGGCTGCTTGTCTGCCCCAAACTTCTGGGAACCGGCGTGTGCGTCTGCCTTGCGGGCATGGGCACTGAGACTAGATTCAGTCGGGTAGCCCTGGGGATGCTTACAGCCTGTCTGGAGGATGGATCTGGAAGTCTCTGGATAAAGGCAACTTCTTACTTTGGTGGATAGCACGAAGAGCAGAAGTAACCAAAAACTCAGCTAAGTTGCCCTTATGTGTGACTTGAAAAAGACTGCTCGAGGCTTTAGTGGAACTTGGATGAAGGAGTATCTCGGGGAGGGGATGTGAGCGTGGGCTGGCGGCTGCAGAGCGGCTCCGTAACTTACGGAGGGGTCAGGCCGCCCGCACTCGCCTCCGACCGGGCGGTCCCGCGGGAATTTTTGTCACTGGCACAACCAGGCCGATGCGACTGTTCACGGAACAAAATACTGCCGTGCCTAAAGAGGACAGAGTTGATATTACGTGTTGCTCCTTGAAACCCTTTTTTTCTATAAACCCTCTGTGTGAAACATCAGGGTTCGGAGAGATACTGCCCTTATAGATGTGCTTCCTATAGCAGCAGTGAAAATAAAGTAGGAATTGCTCAATGCTGATACAGATATCTTAATACTTGGATAGCAACAGAGGATTAGCCAGAGCTTCCACCTGCATTTTCTCTTAAGAGGAAGAAGATGCTGTTGGTTCTGAACTTCCCACTTCTCCCTGTTGGGCTGTATTTAAGTGCTTTAAAATAAAAATGGGACTTTGCTTCCAGTAGTTTTGGTCTCGCTCTGTTGAGACCCCAAGATATGTAATGACTTCATTGCTATTTGATGCTATAATTATTTCCTGCCAGGACAGTTCTGCTGTTGGAGCATCTGTTGCAATTACTTTCAGGTTGGATATTGCTGAATAGGATGACTGGCTTTACAGCAATCCCTGTGCTGGTAGTGCATATTTGGTTTTTTTTCTTTCCTCATTTTTTAAAAAATCTCAGTGTCTTTGATAAAATGCATGCACCTCCCAAGAAAATATATAATGCTAATTAAAAAAAAAAAAAAAAAGTCTTTAGTCAGTCAGTTTCACTATAGATTTCCCAGCACTCATGATGCTGTAATGTCTGGGTAACAGCAGTCAAGGATGAGTTTAAATCCTTGCCAACTTTCCTCTGAAATGAACCATAATGGAAATAAATTAGCTTCTTGTAGCAGGGCTTCCCAGGTATTCAGGTTTTTTATCTAATACTTTTGCTTTCTGGAATGTATTGATGTTGAGTTAAACCCTTTCTGTGAAGGTGGATGATCATGTGAGTTGCCTGTGGTTTGGGAACTTCAGGTTAGCAAAACTTGCAGTTTTTTTATAGCAGTTTTGGTTTGATTGCATTCAGGTATAGTGTTGAATGTTGTCTGATTTGTATTGTGGTAGGAAGCAGATGTCACAAAAGTAGTATTACCCCTCAGTTGCATCAGATTGTTTTCCTTGCTCCTGGGACAATGCAGTCTTTGTATCAGAAGTTCAGAGGTGCTGGTACTCTGCAGCACTGTAAATAAGAATAACTGTATGGACTTCAGTGCTTCAGAAGAAACTAGACATCAGATTTCAAATGGATCAATGTTTCAGGGAAACTTGTCTATGTAATTGTTGCAAGCTTATATAAAAATGCATTCTGTCTTGTAAAGATGTTAGTATTTTACTTCTGTCTTCTAGGTGGCTTCAATTTTTAATTAATAATAAAAAATGCAAGATAGATAGCATTAAAGCTACAAGAGTTAGCAGCATTAAAAAAAGGAAGTGGAATAAACTACCAAATTCCTAGGCTTGAAAAGTTTTTTATTTAAAATAAACTGCCAAATCTAGCCATACAGGATAAAATACAGAATGGAGAATGCACTTAGGTTTAAAATCATGGCATTCATCTTTTGTGGCACCTGTTAAGAAAAATGCATACAGAAAACATCCTTCCCTTGAGTTTCAAAGGGGCGTATTTGAGGTGGCTTGTTCTCAGGAAGGCTGGACAGCACTGCCCTTATTGGTCATGCTGAGTTACTCATGAGCTGGTTGTGGCCTGGAGTGGGCATTGCTTCCATGGAGCTGTAGTCTGGGGAAGGAAGGGCACCAGCAGAGCTGTGTTTGCCTCTGTGACCTGGAGGGCAGTGGAGGTTCATGGAAAACTGGTATTTACGCTGTTCTTCTGTCTCTACCTCCCCATTCCTCTTGCTCAGAATAAAGCCAGGAATTGGGAAAAGCAGATGACTAGATAATGGCTTACTCCTCGTGTCCCTGAGCGCAGGTTGCCCATCTGCCAAGTGCCTCTTTTTGTCTGATTGCCCAGGAAAGACAACTGTGCTTTACGAGTTCTCTTGGTCTTGAAGGACTCAGGCTTGCTCATGGTCACCTTCCTATGATTTCCTCTACAAAGTGCTGGTTTTCAGCGGGGCAGCCAGCTGTCAGAGCAGTGCTGCCGATACCCAAGGCCATCCTCCGGCTCCAGTCCATCCCTGGCTGACCACCACTGGAGGTTTGAGCACTCACTAGGACTCAGTTGATCAGACTTCAGGGGTGGGTTTGGTCTTCTTACTGTGTGTACCTTTAGCTCTCAGACTCAATGGTTGGGCTGTGTCCTCCCCCATGAAGGGAATTTGATCTACTTGAGGGACCTTTCCTCAGTTGCCCTCTTTGCTGACAAGAGCAGCGAGGCTAGCAGCATTTCAGAAGCTTTGCACATAGCGGTCTGGGTCTGCAGAGAGCAGAGCGGCATGGTGAGCACGGCGTTGCCTCAGTGCTGAGCTCCATGTGGCCTGTGCTGATGCGAACAAACCTGCAAAAGTCTCATGTCATGGACCATCTGCTTAACAAGATATTGTGTCCTTGGTTAACCTGAGCTTAATGGGGAGGAGGAATGGATGGGCTGTGCTATTAAACAGGAGGAAATAATTGGGGAGAGACAAGAGCCATGACAAATGTCTGTAGTTCACCTTAGTGTCTTTGGGCCCCACACTGCTTTGGAGAGGTGGAGGGTAGAAAAAGAGCATAAAAAACCCAAAAAGAATGTTTTTTCTTGCTTTTGTTTACTTTTCTTGAACTTAGGTTTTTGTCACTTCTGTGTCTGTGTTTTCAGTCTATCCCTGGCCCTGGAATGCTCATTACAAGCAGGTGTTGAAAGGACAATTAGTAGATAAATCGTCTTCTCTGCTGATGGGATGAAAAAGTACAGAACTGAACCAGATGCCAGGGATCCTCCACTGTTACTTTCAGTTTGCTTAGAGCAGGAAAATTCTTTGAAAACCTCACCTTATGCCACGCAGGGCTATGGCAGCAGCTGCCATCACTCTCCACTGTAGCATTTGCTTCCTCTGGTGTGTGTATTTCTATTTTATGCTTTCCATTACTGCTAACACCAGTGGGGCTGAGCAAGCATGGTGTCAGCAAAGAAAAGGTGCCCTGAGTGTGCTGTAATTTCACTAGCAGTGTGGTGCAAGGCATGGTCTCCGTGTAAGGTTTCCTTTGCACCTGACTTAGAGGGGGACAGCAGCAAGTTCAGCTTCCTGGTTTCTGTTTGCGGCTCAGTTGTCTTTGCTTGGATGTTTTGCCTCGTCTGTGGCAGGTTTTCCACTGCCTGCTGCTTATCTAGGTTGATAGTGGGTAACTTCAGAAAGCACAGCCACTGTTTGTGTCAGGTGTCTGGGCTGTGTGGCGTGAAGCAGGCAGGCAGCATGTGGACTCCTGTGGGTGGGAAGGAGAGAACTGGTGTAGGTATTCCAAAACTGCAATGGGATGGGATGGAGCCCGGTTTTGTCGAGTTTCTCCTAATTGTCTGTAGAACCTACGGTAGGTAACCTGAAGAGGTAAGGGCTGATAAACATATGGATGTTGCTGCCTTCTGCTTTCAAAGTTGACCTAATACATCTTGTGCAGAGTGCTGTGAATCTCCCTCATCATGGTCTAGTTGTTTTTCAGTGATAAAGCCACATGAGGAATTTGATATTTTCATATATTTGTATCTGGTCCATTGCTTTAGAATAGGAGGGAACGCTGATTTTAAAATACTTCTTAATTTATATTATGTTTGAGTAGGAGTAGGCTATCTGAAGATTTCTTGTATCAACAGGCAGAAAACTGTAGAAGTTCCTTTAACGTATGCAGTTTCTGGATGTTGATAATCCCATGAAGTCTGAGCATAGTATTTGTGGTTAGACCAGTAGGGGCTAAATAATCGGTGCCTGTAACTTTTTTTACCCCAATAACATCCTCTGTTTAGTAGGCTTCTGGGGACAGATTCTCTGCAAACTTCTCTATTCACATTAGGTGACACTGATCAGCTTTTTTTTTTTTTCTGAGGAGGGCTGAGCAATGCTTTGGAGGGCTAGAAGAACTAAGTCAAACTTAGATAATAGTGAGGAAATGTGTTATGTTGTAACTAGGTGAAATTTCAGCTGCACTGTAGGACTTGATTTTGCTTTCAGGACTGAGTGTGTCTAGCAAAATATGCCTTCATATGATTTAATGCACAGCACTATGGGAATTAAGATTTAACTCTTGGCAGAAGATGTAAAGCTAATGTCTAGATTTATTGTTTTCCAACACACATACACACACACACAAAAAGACGCATTCTGGATACTGAAGCATGGAAATACGATGCTCAGTAAAATGAATGTTAAATGCTGTTCAGATTTTACTATTGATTGAAGTGTGTTGCAAAGAATTACAGCTACAGTTTGGTGAATAGTAAACTTTTTTTAATCCTTAGAAGAGAGAAAACGTGAGCATGATCTGTGTTGCTTGTGCAGTATTTAAAGGACCTTTCAGCTTGTAGCAGTAAAAAATAACATC